TAGGTCATACAGGGTTACCCACAAAGAATGAGACTTCAGAGACGACTGTACGGAATTCATACTGTCTGTTTACTTATATTCATGATTCCCTGCAACTTTTTTTTTGCCAAATCCGTATTCATTAAATAAGCCATTTACAGACCGCATTCAAGGTAGAAGCCTTAACGTATACTTGGGATTGTCATATTTGAAGAGTTTTAAGTCGTCTTCACAGGCTCATTATTTGTGGGTAACTCTGTACGCCATTGATTAATTGATTGAATGGATAGGTTTGTTCTGTATAGATAATTTAATAGGAACTATCCATTACAGATTTTAAATATCCTCTGGTTATGCTGCTCCTGGAGCGGTTGCAGAAAAGATAAAAAGATAGAACCCGAGTTTTTTTTCGCCATTTATCCAGGCCCCTGTAGAGGACAGATTATAATATCAAGTAATCTAAACTGACCCTCCATTTAACATGTGGCATCGGAACCCTGATATTGCGTTTACCGTGTTTAAACAGAAATTAGAAATATATAAATTATTCATAATGCAATAATGTTTCATTGCATATTTGTTAAATTTGTTTAATATTATTACCCCTGGTTCATCGTAAGGCAAAAAGCATACAATTTTTTCCCCCCCCCCCCCTCCTCCTCACTTTTTTATGACAATAAACCTCCTTTACATATTCCATCCTGTGTTACACTCACGTTATTCTTAATTCATATTTCTTAAAGGGAGTGTTCACGAAAAATGAAAGGGGGTATAGGGTTACGGCGAAAAATAAGCGCTTCATTTAGATATTACAACCTATAATCATCGATAGCTTTTCGAGGCATTCGTATATATATGATGTTTGATTATATTTCTTATTTTTTATGATCCAAGAGTTACTTTTGAAAACATACATTTCTGTTTCGAGGATTTTTGATAATGAAGACGACATTTTTATATTTCCTAGGAATGTTCGAAACAAATTGTAAGCGAAATATTAATCTAAAAGAATAACAAAATCAAAAGGATGAAATTGTAAAAACGACCTAAAATTAGGATATGCCTTCTTTCTGGAATATTAGCTTACAATTTGAATAAGCGATGAAAGAAAAAAAAGTTTAAATTTGCGTAGAATCATGAATACAAGGAAAAAGACAGTATAAATCCCGTACAGTCGTTTCTGAAGTCTCGTCCTGTGTTGGTTACCCTGTACCAAATCATATTTTTAAAGATTACGTTTAAAGGGACTGTAGGCAAATGTAAATTCAGTATACATTGTTGATACTATAGTACACATTTGGTGTTGTCACGCATAAACTCTGTGATAAATTAACAACAATCCAGAGGATAAAATGCCATGCGTACGACAGAGATGGTGCTGCTTTCACTTCTTCTCAAGACCTCAAAATTGTACTAGCCCATGATCTATATATATATTATCACTCCACTTTATAAGTTCCATTCCCGATTAACTACGTTACCCGTATTAACGTTTCTATCTTAATCTGCCAAACAACATTTTTTTTAATCTAGAAAAGGGGTTAATTCTGACGATTCTTTCTACAGTTTTTAGAAAAACATACAGTGAAACCCTTAATAAAGAATACATCGAAAGAATTCATCAAATGTCGTATTCTTCCCTTTCTGATAATGGAATGTTGCAGATATTTAGTTTTTTAATTAAATGATTATATGGAACTCTTTAAAACTGTTCTCGCATATTCATGACTATTTATTTATTTTAGCAAATACTNAAGGAAAGAGAAGGAAAGAGAAGGAAAGAGAAGGAAAGAGAAGGAAAGAGAAGGAAAGAGAAGGAAAGAGAAGGAAAGAGAAGGAAAGAGAAGGAAAGAGAAGGAAAGAGAAGGAAAGAGAAGGAAAGAGAAGGAAAGAGAAGGAAAGAGAAGGAAAGAGAAGGAAAGAGAAGGAAAGAGAAGGAAAGAGAAGGAAAGAGAAGGAAAGAGAAGGAAAGAGAAGGAAAGAGAAGGAAAGAGAAGGAAAGAGAAGGAAAGAGAAGGAAAGAGAAGGAAAGAGAAGGAAAGAGAAGGAAAGAGAAGGAAAGAGAAGGAAAGAGAAGGAAAGAGAAGGAAAGAGAAGGAAAGAGAAGGAAAGAGAAGGAAAGAGAAGGAAAGAGAAGGAAAGAGAAGGAAAGAGAAGGAAAGAGAAGGAAAGAGAAGGAAAGAGAAGGAAAGAGAAGGAAAGAGAAGGAAAGAGAAGGAAAGAGAAGGAAAGAGAAGGAAAGAGAAGGAAAGAGAAGGAAAGAGAAGGAAAGAGAAGGAAAGAGAAGGAAAGGGAAGGAAAGGGAAGGAAAGAGAAGGAAAGAGAAGGAAAGGGATATGGAGATATGTAGGGGAGGGGAAGTATCGTGAGGTGATCAGAAGTTGAAGAATGAGTACATGAAGGAAAACATAAAGAATAATTAGATAGATAGATAGATAGTTGGATAGATAGATAGATAGATAGATAGACAGATAGATAGTTAGATAGTTGGATAACTAGACCATTACTCTCTAACCTTTATCCTTTCAGCCAACCTTAATTTCACCTCTACAATTTTATCTCATCATTTTATTTTTCATCATTTTAGGTGATTTTGTATATATTGTGTTTATTTCTTTCTACTGAATTTTTTTGTTCTGATCTTGTTTTTTAAACCTTTCAGTAGCTTGATTCGACTGTAGAACAACATATTTCAACATTTTTTTTTATTTATTTAATTTAAAATTTAGATAATTTTGAAATATTTCCGTTTTGTCTAAATTTTTGTTTAACAACCGTTTCTATGTTTAAAAATATTTTCCATTCTTTTTTAGGTTTACCACCAAGTCTGATGTTTGGGCATTTGGTATTTTGCTTTGGGAGATTGCAACTTACGGGATGACTCCTTATCCAGGCGTTGAACTCACGGATGTTTACCAGGTACAGATTGAAAGAACGACGGACAGACAGACAGACAGACAGATGGAAAAATTTCTAGACGGAATAATTGATTAAGAAACAAATATATCAAAATTATTGACAATTGGCAATACGATTGAAAAAAAACATAAAAAAATTAAAAGTTTTGAGAATAAACAGATTAAGAAATAGACAGATAGAACAATAGACAAATTGAAAAAACCAGAGAAAAAAGTTTAAAATGAAACAGATTAAAAAGTAGACAGATGGAAAATGGACTTAGACAGACGGAAAAATAGACAAAATAACAGACAAAAAAAAACAGAAAAAATGTAGGGACAGAATTATATTAAAACGATGAAACTAAAAGAATAGAGAATAAACAGAAGGAAAAATAAACAGCTAAATACTGAACTCATTCAGCAGACAAGTTTCAAACTTCCATATTCTCTCAGACGCAAATCTGCCCCTTTAGTAAAAGTAAATTCAACCTATATGAAGCATAAAGTCTGACCGCGTCAACCTTGTTACACCGGCTAGTCCTGTTCACAGAGCTAGGTACAGTACAAACTGGGACCGGAAAGGTTGACCCGGCTCGGAAATTCAAATGTACTACGGCTGCCTGTGTTTAATGTATTGTTCTCTAGTTACTGGAGAGTGGATACAGGATGGAGTGCCCACCTGGTTGCCCTGCTAGGGTTTATAGGTATTCATTCATTCATTTATAAATTCACCTGTTTTTACATTCATAAATCTATTCATTCTCAAATTCATTTATTTAATCAGACATTCATACATCTATTCATTCATAAATTCATTCATTCATAAATTAATTCATTTATAATTTCATCCTTTCATAAATTCATTTATTCATTTATTTTATTTATTCATCATTTATTCAGGCTTTCATAAGAACTTTTTTTTCACTCTTTTATTCAAGAAATTTGACTATTTGATACAAGAAAATGGCATAGTTTGAAATAGGTCAACGATACAGATTTAAAAGATAAAAGAATTAGAGAATTAGAGTTTGAGACAAACTTCGAGGACCTTTTTATAACTTCTTGAATTATATAGTTTGATGCGTGACTGCTGGGACTGGGATGCTGGAAGACGACCAACCTTTCAAGAAATACATTTTGACATGGAGAACATGTTCCAGGTTTATTCAACGGTAGATTTAGAAATATTCTAGCTAGTGACGATCAGGGTTTTCAGCTGAAGAAAACTTGCGAAATTTATTTTCACTTGTATTTTGCAAACTTACTCATTTTTTCGCGGAATGAATTTTGCGAAAGGAAGCGAAACGATGCAGAATTTTGTAAAGCTTAAACAAAATATTCGACAGTTTCGCGAAAAATAGAAAAAAATGGTAGTTCTTTTTCGCGAAACTTCCCAGTAATCTTTTGCGCGAAACCTTAAATGCAAACTTTCCTCGAAGACGCATTTTTTTTTGTTTTTCGCAAAACATATTAATGCGAAATTTAGCGAAAATGTTCAATTCTTTTTTCTTCGAAAGGAATGCGAAAAAATGCCAAATTTTGACTATGTTCCTATTTCGCTGAAAACCCTTGTTTAAATACAGGCGGTGTATAATGTTCACTAACGGGAGTGTTCCCTGATATAAAAAAATAAAGGGGGTTATGGGTTGATCCCTAATCATGCAGCAAATGACTTGTACCGACATTTAGTCGACCCATGTAAAAAGAAATTGACATGAAACCTGAAAAGTGCCATTAATTGAGTACACTTTATAAAATAACTTTTATCGGTTAACAAATAGTAACAATCTGTGAAAAACTACCCAAAAAATATGAAATACCTACCATCCCCGCCCCTAAGTAATTCAAAATATTGATTAAAAACGGTAAAAATTATTTAAAGGTTATTATACAGAAAAGGAACATTATACACGTCTGAATTGTCCATGTACATTGCTTTGTTATTGTTGTTAGTTTTGTTTGTTTAAGTCAAATAGATCCTAGTACAAAAGATGGCAACGTAGAATTTGTACACACTCAGTACAGCTGTATTCTGACGTCACAAGTGTCAATTCAGTTTTTGTGTCCGACAAAATTATTAATAATAGTGATAATTTTAGAATAAAGTGCTTATCTTACAGTAAAATAAGTGCAATTTTATGTGTTCTTTAGTTTCTGTTTTTACACTTTTTATTTAATCTTGGAAAACATGTCAACTAATGTGAGAAAATTTAGTTTTCCTTGTTATATTTGACACTTGTGACGTCTTGTATAATTGGTCCATTTCTCTGTTGCCACCTATTGTACTTGATAATCAATTTGGTTATAGTTAACAGTTGTGCTATTTGTATTTTTGTACCAATAATTTTAGTATTTATGAGAAAAGTTGAATTACGTATTTAATCAATTCCATTTTTATCCCCGTCCTTACATTTATTTTCATTTTATTTTTAAATATCTAAAAAACTTTCCCCATTTCAAGTGATTCATTTGAATGAAATTTTTTTTAAATCAGTATTTTTATTTTTTGTTGTCTGTCCTTGCATGGCTTTATTTAATGGGTTATCTATTTAAAGAAAACGCGGGAATTCCAAATTATAAGATATTGTTTAATCAGTATTAATATAATCTCCAGGAATCCTCGATCACAGAAGAGGTTGAGGCAGAGCTCCGACCTCATTCTTCAACCTCAACCTCCACTCCTATCCTCCCTACCAGAAAACTGCGCCAGGGAACAGACAAAGCACGAATGCCGCGTGAAGATTCAAATGTTGGCCCACGTGCTGGCACTGAATGTCGTCCTCCTAGTCAACCTCAAACTGGGGCCATTCTTAGGTAATGAGTAAATTTTTATTAAAAGATAAAATTTACAAAATTTAATTTTAATCCTTAAAGGCAGTGCTTAGAATCCTGATCCAAGGGGTAAAATATCAACCAAAAACTGCCAAAAAAAAACTCCTAAAGCCAAAATCTAAAAAAAAGAGGGATTATAAAAATTTCACCATTTCTGAATGATTCATCGAGTTTCAGGAAAAAAATATGCGAGAAAAAAAAATTGAAAATTATTTTTTGTTATAAAAATTCAGTAAATCTTAAAGAAATGACTTGGATCCGGATCCATTTTTTCCAGTGCGGATTTAGGATCCGGATCCGCATCAAAATTAAATGCATCCTAAGCACTGCTTAAAGGGTATGTAAGCGTAAATTCAAGTGACCCTCCATGCTAAGATTGTAATGCCCGATTTTTTGGCAAAATTTCATTTCCTTTACAACTCTGATATATAATTAACAAATATGTTCTAAACCAAGCAAAGACTATAAGATATACGGTCTTTAATATAAACGCCCCTGATGACAAAAGAATTTTATTGGTATCATCTTACTTGATATGAATTGTTTAGTAACAAGTCAACTGTTGTGATGTTACGACGGGGTCCAAACAAACAGGCTCCAGCTCCTCCAAAACGGACCAGGTAAGTTTTTAATCAGAAAAAAAATAAAAGTTTTTACCCACGAAACGTTTTTACCCAGCAAACAAGAAACGTTTTGAACCATAATGGATTGTTCATAGCTCTAAACTGAGATTTTCGGGAGATGACAAACAGTTTTGAAAAAAAGTTTAATGCCAATATTACAATTTGCACGCAGAAAATACTGAGTTCTTAATATATTCTGTGCGTATTTTGGCGGTAAAGTTAGGAGTTAATCCAATATGAAATGGGTTGCAATGTTCTGTTTACTTTAAGGGACTGTAACATGTAAGAGCAATTTCAAATGGTTGTCAACGGTACCCTTTAAAGCTTTGTCTGATCAAGTAAGAATTAGAACTCCATGTTTTGTTTTTGATAACAGTTTTTTTATTAGTGGTTTTTCTGCAAAAGGGACTTACCAATTTTTTGCTTACAAGAAAGACTGGAGAAGTAATCAGAATTAAACACTGTTTAAGTCAGAAAACGACGTTATCTTCCATATTTTTGATCAGATAAAGGTTTCAAGGATATCGTTGTAAATTAGAAATCGCCATCTTTGATCAAGGGTCAAATAAAATAAAAAATTTAATAGAATAAAAACTCTTAAGGTAAAATGTGTGCTTCAACATCTAAGATATTTGTAGAGAATCCTTCTCCCCAGGGATCCTAGACTCCGGGTTGTTGACATCCTAGATAAACCAGATGTAATCATTCCACTAATATACATTTATCTATTAATTTGACTGTTTTTCTCTTAAAATGTCTTGATGTTTAATGGCTGCCAAAACTTGAAATGTTTAATCCTCGAATATTCAAGAAAACATGGAATCCTGATTTAATTACTTCTAATGTCTGACATGGAATAGATAACCATGGCATCCATCATTATTAACAGGGGTGCACATTTTTTATTTTCCCCCTCATCAAACAAAAATTTCCCTAAGTATGTGAGGAATATTTTTTTGCTGAATTGGGGACAATTAATGATTTCAATAAAAAGTATTATAAGGGGGGAAATCTTGTTAATTAAATTTTTATTTTTCCCCCAAATGGTTGAAAATCATTTCTGTGAGGGGGGGGGAGTTCTTGAGAATATATATCCCTGTATATTCATCAGTCTGGTAATAAGTTGGCAGCCCCACAATCTGTAAACAGGGACAAAACCTTTATATCTGGAACAGTGGTGTTTTTACTCCACAATATTATATTAATCAAAAAATATAGTTTCATTCATGCTAAATAAAAGTGGACAAATTTTTTACATAAAATTTAAAGAGGCCCTACCATTTAGAAACTCATTTCCCATTCACAATGGAACCATTAAAATCTATGTTTGGGAAAAATTTATTGAGCTATTCTTGTTTATTTACCTGAAAATTTAACTTTTCAAATTTGGTTTGCTGTCAAAGTTACTTGTAGGTTAATTGAACATTGAGAAAATTAAGGAACGAGTTAAAATACAACATGTTTTAAGACTAAAAACAACTTGATATGTTCTTCATTCTTTCCATTTAGATGTTTCAAGGGTATCATCATGAATCAGACATACCCCTCTAAAAATGGATGATCATTGTTTACTTGAAATTACGTCTTCTTTCTCTTTAAAAAGCTTTTGGGTTTGTGCAGACCCAGTTTAGTTTGAACCCCCCAATCCCTGGATCCCTAAACTAGATTAAACATTCAGACGAATAGTTTGCCGAGCCAAATCCCTATGATTGCTTAACAAAGCGTTAAGTCTTTGACGCCCTAATATTTTCTTCTGCTCATTTATTATTAGAAAGAGTATATTTGGCTCAAAGATTATGTTTGCTGGGTATTATCAATATTGATTTCTTTCATCTTTTTACGTCTCCTTTAAACTTGAGTTTCTGTTTGCTGGGCATTATCGATATTGATTTTTTTCCTCATATACATTGGGGATGCGGAATTGTTATTTAACAACTGATAGTTCCAACTTTATTCCAGTTTTTACTATGGATCCTTATATGCTGGAATATCCTCTGTATCCTCATCTCCCCCTTCTTACACCTCCTCCCCCTCCTCCTCCTCCTCTTCCTCTTCTTCAAGTTCTCCTCCTTCTTCTCCTTCCTCATCCTTTTCCATCTTTCCTTCTCAAACTTTATAAACCTAGATGTAAGTATTTTAATCCTAATCTCCGTAAAATCTAATTTTCTAATCGCAAAATCTTTCAACTGATGGTGTAAATCTTTGACTATTAAAGTTTGAAAGATCTACAACATCAGGTTGCAAAGATATATGGATTAGAAAGCTCAAAGTTTGGGAAAGATATTAGTTCCTTCCTACTGTTTCCTTTTCTCTATATCCATAATTATCACTCCTTTGCAATAATCTGGCATAAATGCCATATTCATTAAACACATTTAATTTGTACACTCTCCCCTCTCCCAATCGTTAATTTTACCATTTCGCGTCGGTCCTAAAATGTCACATTGATAAAAAAAACCTATCCCATCTACTTTCATCTACACTCATTGGTTCTACTTTTACTCAACTATTCATAATTAATTAACAATTTGTCTTAATCGCTCTTAACCCTCTAAAATATAAGCCTTTGTGTATGAATTTGATCACATGATTTTAATTCAAGGAATTAACGCTTTTCAGTGATTAAAGTGACTGAAAAGCGTAATCTTATGTGACCTTTCTTTTGTAAAAAAAGAGGCATTAACTAAGGTACCCTTTAAACCTTTATCTCAGGATAACGGTGAGGTATAGCTCGAGGTTACAGTGTACACTTTACACTCCTAGTTCGCGCGTTTTCTATGCTACATAAGTTACTGCTGTTAAGATGAGAACATCTAAGAAATCCTTGATCAAACAAAGGTCTAAAGAGTATCGTTGTAAATCGGACATAACACTTATTAATAAAAGGTTTACAGCCTCTTTGTATTTAAGGAGTTTCTCAACATAAAAACCATAAAATGGAGGGGCCTCTTCGGTTGTTTTGATTATTTATTTGTGTTAAATTTAGTTCCTTCCGGGACAGCAGCTACGATGCTGACGGATACTCAGAGCGGGAGATGGAGGGTCAACTTATATCAGGTGAATGTCGTCTTCAAACCTGAAAAATATCGTCTTCATACCTCAGACATGTCGTCTTAACACCTTAGAAACGATTCATTCGTCAATTATATCTTTGAAATGTCGTCTAAATGTTTCTTTTAAATTTATTTGTAGCTTTTAACTGTTGTTATTTAATCTTTTTGTTCAGGCTTAAAGTTTAAACCTCTGTTTTATTGTAAAAAATTCTGAAATTTTTCAATTTTTTTATTTCTAAACATTTTAGGAATACATATCGCACTAATATGTTAATTAAGTACTAGCATATCCCATTACAAAACTTATTGAACACAGAGTTCAGTTGTTTTTTAGTTACTATTCACATTTAGAGTGACATATCCTATTCACACCGGTATCCTTCAACATATCCCATTACCAAGTGTATAGTTAAAAAAACATGTCAGCTTTTAACTTACTGAACGCAGAGTTCAGTTGTTTTTTAGTTACTATTCACATTTAGAGTGACATATCCTATTCACACCGGTATCCTTCAAAGCTTTGTCTGAATTAGATATCCAAGTTTATAATTTTGAAGACTGATCATTTTTAATTGCGGTATCTCTAAAAAAGTTACTTGTAAGAATGTTCAATTTTAAGCACAAGCTAGAAAACCTAAATTTATTTTACATTACTGATCAGATTAAGGAATCCTTGTGAATCGGGTACGGAGGTCTACTTGAAATTACGTGAACAGTCCTTATAAATATTTTGTTCTCAGGGCATTTGGCGGACAGTGAAGGAGATCTAGGAGATAGTGACCGGGAACTGGAAGAGGTAAAAAACTCATTTGTGAAAATAATTTAAGGCTATATATTTTAATATCTTCTTGTAAATCATTTCTTTTCTCTATTAAACAAGGAATGTTCAGAATTGTTAATCACTGAATGAGGGAAATACAAAAATTCTAAAAGAAATAATTGAAATGGGGTTCGAGGGGCTAGCCATAAACTGTCTAATTTTTAATTTTTCATATTTTTCGGGTTGATTTTAGATTATTTAAAGGATAATGGAGGGGATGAACGTTATCAAGCGCAGCTGCCGCTCTCGTCCTTCAAACGTGCTCCTGCCCCTGCAATGGGCGGACGGGCTGCTGAACAGCGGCGCCAAGACGAAAAGCGCTCGCGCAGCAAAGGCGACCGTAAGAAGGAGAAGCGGGTGGGTCAGCTTGATGAAAAGAATTTGAAGCGCGCAGCTAACCGGTATGGTACTCTGCCCAAGGGTGCGCGCATAGGAGCATACCTGGAGTCCTTGAGGGGCGCAGGGATGACACCGGAACCGGTTTCTGAAGAGTCCGGTCATGATACCTTAGATTCACAGCGATCCGGGGCTACTGATCCAGGTAGCATTTGGTCATTCATTTATTCATTTATTTATTCATTGATTTGTTTATTCATTCATTTATTCATTTGTTTATTCATTGATTTGTTTATTCATTCATTTATTCATTCATTTATTTATTCATCCATTTGTTCATCCTTTTATTCATTCATTTATTCATTAATTTGTTTATTCATCTTTTATTTTAATAGTTTACGACTGTTTTTCTTTTTTTAAATTCCAAAATGTTCATTAAGATTTTGTAATTGTTATGTTATATATTTAAAGTTCTAAGAGTTGCAGAATTTTGGTAGGGACAGAGAATAGATAATGGATTCAATACCTATTTTGAGACCAATTTCGAAAAGCTAGGCTAACTTTGTCTTAATACTTATCTTATGTCTTATGTTTTATGGCGCTAAATCTTAAATTAATTCTATATTAAGGTCGTGTATCGGATCTTCAACTGACCCCAGCTATGGCAAGGTCAAATTCCTCTCATGGTGGTTTTCCAGGTATTTAAATAGAATATACACTTATTCAGATTTAATAGCGGTTAGCAGGGGCGTACACAGGAATTGGACCAGAGGGGCCTTTTTTCTAACTTTCCAAAGAGGGGAAAGGGGAATACCCCAATAGGATTTAACAATTCCAGGGATTTTTTCTTAATTTTTCAATTGTTAATTCGGTTCCATCAATGGTCAGACTATTTTCCCTAATCTTGAAGCGAAATCTTTCTATATATATCTATCTCTATCTATGTATCCATCTATCCATCTATCTATCTATCTATGTATCCATCTATCCATCTATCTATCTATCAATCTATATATCTACTAGGCGTGAACAACCAGAAGTCCCGGCTAGGGTCACGCTCTGGTCAACTTCCAAGACGTTTACCCACTTATACACAGGTACAGTGTCTTAAAATTATTATTATTGTTATTACGCTATGCTACAGAAAAACGGAATTATTGTACGATTTTTTTCGTTATAAAAACGACTATATCTCACAATACAAATTATGGTCAGATTTAAAGGATATCGTACACAACCCTCTTTAAGTGGAAGGCCGGTTGAAATTGACTAATTACAATTTAAATATAATCTTTTAATGTTTAGGGTGGATCCTCATCTATGAGTCCCCGACCCGGTCAAAAATCCTCCGGTATGCCCGAGATAGATTTCCCGCCTCCACCCTCCGATTTACCCTCGGAGGATTCAACTCCTCTTCCCTCCTCTCCTGAATAGATTCCTCAAATACCGGGAACAGTCCCCTGACTCCTGTGACTCCAACAAGTCCCTTCCGGAGTCCACAAAGCAAAGTGCTTTCTCTCCTGCACCGTCTCCCCTCCCTTATATTAATGTGATATATGCAACCATATGAATATCATGACAACAATCGGAAATTTTCTTATATACTCCGCCAGGAGTCCTGAAAATAATCCTAACATAAACATAAACAAACATTATGTCAAATTTTAACCCTGAGGAAAAATAAATGCAAAAACCGAACCAAAAGCAAACGTGTTACAACCATCTTTTTTATTCTGTTTTCGTTTTTTAGGACAAAATATTGGAAAATTTAATAAAAGCAATGTTTAACAGAATACAGTTTTATAAAAAGTCCAAAAAACAAACAGAACATAAATAACACTGCCCCACGCACTTGAAAGGGAAGGTTTTGTCAATTTTTCTGTAGGAATCTCTTAGATTTTGTTCTATGTTTAATAATTTACCTTTTACGGGTTTCACAACAATAGTTATGTAAACTTTTGAATGATATCATGCAAAGGATCCAATGACTTTATAAGGATGATAATTTTGTGCAATAGTTTAATTTTTTTTATTTATTCAGAATTAATTTCAAAGTTTGTTTCAGTTACCGAGCTTTTTGAAAGTTTCAAAGCTAAAACTGAACCCGCCGCCCCACCCGCCGAGCAGGCAGGCTCGGAACAGCTTCTCGACCTAAAGGCGGGTCTCAAGCGAGTCTCCGCCCACCCTCTGGCTCCGCCCACGGATGGGCGGGATGAGGAACCTCCTATAGACTTCAAGGCTAACTTGAAAAAAGTTACAACAAGAGCACAGCAGGAGAAAAGTTTGGAAGGTAAAAACTTATAAATCCGTTTTTAATTAAATTAAAGAGGAAGAAAATTAAACCTATAATGCATCCAATATTTCATATTTTAGATATTTTCTCAATCATTCAAGACAAAGTCACAATATTCAAGACAAAGTCATAATATTTAAGAAAAAGTCACTTTTGTAACAATATTTAAGACAACGTCGCAATATTTAATACAAAGTCACACTTTTTAAGACTAAGTCGCAATATGTAAGACAAAGTCACAATATTTAAGACAAAGTCACAATATTTAAGACAAAGTTACAATATTTAATACAAAGTCATAATATTTAAGACATAGTCACAATTGTTAAGACTTTTGTGACAATATTTAAGACAACATCACAATATTTAAGGCAAAGTCACAATATTCAAAACAAAGTCACAATATTCAGGACAATGTCAAATTTTTAAGACAAAGTCACAATTTTCAAGGCAAAGTAATAATATTTAAGACAGAGTCACAATTGTTAAGACTTTTGTAACAATATATAAAACAACGTCGCAATATTTAAGACAAAGTCACAATATTTAAGACTAAGTCGCAATATGTAAGACAAAGTCACAATATTTAATACATTATCACAATATTAAACTAAAATAATATTTAAGAGTTAATCACAATCATTTAAAAAATAATCACAATCTTTAAGAAATGATCACAATCTTTAAGAAATAATCATAATCTTTGAGAAATAATCATAATCTTTGAGAAATAATCACAATCTTTAAGATACGATGGTAGGCGATTATATCGATATTATGAAGACGACTTTTTATTTTTATTGTTTACAAGCTTTTTACGAATTACAAGTTCAGATTTTTACGAATTACAAGTTCAGATTTTTACGAATTACAAGTTCAGATTTTTACGAATTACAAGTTCACAAGCGATGAAAGAAAAGCTTTTTTTAATTGACAGCTTTTTTCAATGTTTTTTTTTTTTGTATCCATGCTCTTAAGCTTAATATAAATCAAGAATGAAATTAAAAGTCGTCTTCATTATATTGATATAATTGCTATACCACCGTAGAATCCCAATCATTAAGAAATAATCACAAGTTTTAAGGAATAATCACAATCTTTAAAAAATTATTACAATATTTAAGAAATAATAGCAATCTTTAAAAAATTATCACAATCTTCAAGAATAATCACAATCTTTAAGAAATAATCACAATCTTTAAGAAATAATTATAATCTTAAAGAAATAATTGCAATCGTTAAGAAATAATCACAATCGTTAAGAAAAAATTACAATCTTTAAGAAATAATAACAATCTTTAAAGAAATAATTAAAATCTTTACGATATGATCACAATCTTTAAGAAATTATCACACTCTTTAAGAAATATCACAATCTTTTGAAATAATAAATCTTACGATATAATCACAATCATTAAGAAATAATGAATGACACTCTTTAATTTCTGATATTTGCAGAGATTGGTGAAAGAGTCGACTTTAAGTCCCAGCTCCGTAAAACTGTGAGATCTGAGGAGAAATCAAAACCCGAGCCCTCTAACTCCGATCGGAAACCTAGCCTTGGAAAAACTGACACGTTGAAAAGCGAAAATTCAGACAACCCTAGTCAATCATATCTTAGGTATTAAATAGATTTTCATGCATATTAGTATTTCATTCCAGAAACTATTCAGTGTAAATCGTATTTACAGGGTTACCCACAAAAGATGAGACTTCAGAGACGACTGTACGGAATTAATACTGATCATTTCCTAACATTTACAATTTTCTGCTACTATAAACAAGGTTTTTTTGCGAAATCATTTAAAAGGCCAAAAAACCTATCTTTAAGGCAAAAGACTTATTCTTGGAATCATCATATTTAAAGAGTTTCATGTCGGCCTTTATGGGTAACCCTGTATTTGTTATATAATTACTAGCTTGGGAACCCAGCTGTCCAGATTTGCCCGAAAGTTAAATTTTCTTCAGTAAAGTCAGCCACACTAAACTTTTTAAGCCAGGCATTTAAAAATCATACCCGTTGTTTTACTGGGTATCCCAATCAAATTTGAGGCAAATCGGCCGAGAGGTTTGTGAAATATGATCTAACATACAAAAAAAAATTGCTTAATACTTCTGAGCAATTTATTATTAAGCAGCACATAGTTTTTTCGAAAAAATGTTTATAAAAATTGTCGAAATTTATGAATTAATTTGAACTTTTGCTCATTGATAGAGATTCGTTAATCCAAAGTCTGCTGAAGTAATGATTATTTACTTATTGTTATTACATTTGAAATTTTCTTAGTATTTTTGATTAGAATTGTAGGTTCTTGGATTTTATCTCAAATTGTTAATTTTGTTGTAATTAATGTATCCTAAATTTACAATTTTTTTTTATTGTAAATTATATATTTTCAGACCTAGTAAAGTTTGCGAGGATCCTACCAGTGGTTCCCTTGAACCTGAACCAGAACGGGAGGAACCTGAATCAGGAGAAGAGAAGCGAAAAAGCTCTGGTTCTATCTCAAGCCTGGTCAAAATATGGGAACTTGAGAGTGCTTCTAGTCCAAAGGACGACTTTAGTCCGGCCGATGAACGTCCCGGAAGTGTAGTGAAGTTTGAAAAGCGGATATGGCCGCCAATTCCTGCATGCGAAACCGAAAAGCCGATGGTTCCGATTAAGCCGACGGTGAAACCTCCCGCACCAACCACCCGGCCACCGCCGCCGAAGGAGCCGAGTTGGAAACCGAAACCGGTTCCTGCGGCCAAACCTATGGTCTGCAATATTTACGCAGCACCCAATCAATCCCTAAGTCAATCAGGAAGTCAGATTAGAAGCATATCATCTCTCAGCAGCAGTGGGAGCAGACCAGGGCCTCAACTAAAGGTTAGTCATTTTTTCCTCCTCGAGTTTGATGACGGGAAAAACACAATTTTGTTTAATTAGTCGATTGATTAGATATTTATTGTCTGATTTATTGATTGATTAGCTTAATAATTGCCTGATTGATTGATTGGTAAGCTAAATTATAGTCTTACTAGCCTTAGAGGGCGCTTCGCGCCCATCTTCTAAATTGATTGTGAACATATGTTCTCTTTGTGTACATCGTAAAACAAAACAAAAATAATTCGCGGATTTTCACAAAAAATTTCGTGGATTTTCAAAATTTTCAAAAATTAAATGAAGATCGAATTTTGATGGAGACAAATATTTGAAATTTTGATCATTCATAAACCTTCCCTGTGGTCACGTGAGGTCCCACAAAAAATTTGGGCCCGATCGGTTCAGCCGTTATGACGTTTATTGGATACAAACAAACAAACAGACAGACAGACAAGCCAAATTTATATATAGATTAATTGATGATCTAATTGATTGTCTGAGTGATTGATTATCTAATTGATTTCTAATTAATTAATTGATTATTTGATTGACCATATGATTGATTGATTTATTGATTGATTTATTGATTTATTGATTGATTGATTTATTGATTGATTGATTTATTGATTGATTGATTGATTGATTGATTGATTGATTATTTGATTATCCAGGTGGTAGAAAAGAAAGACAGTGGCCCAGTAAAGGAGAAAGAAGGAACAGACACAAAGACAGACAGACAAGATAAACGTGCAGACAGTACAGACAGTGGACTCTCCTCAGCTTGTGATAAGGTTGGTTCACTCATTCATTTGTTCATTCATTCATTCATTCATTCATTCATCCTTCCTTTCACCTATTCATCCTTTAATATATTCATTTATTTATTCATTCATCCATACATTCATTCACTCAATCATTCACCTATTCATCCTTATATTCACTTTTTCATTGATTGATTCATTGATTCATTACGTTTATCCTTTCATTCATTTATTCAATCATTTTTACATGCATACATTCATTTGTTTAATTAATTATCATTCAGTCACTATTCAATTATGAATTCATTCTTTGATTCAATCCGAGTCATATTATTTATTTGTTATTAAATACATTAGTTTTCTAAGCAATTGCTTTTTTGTTAAATATAAAATTTTTCATTTATGCATCTTATTTTTGTGTCTATCCATCTATCTATACTATCTACATATTTATCTTTCTATCAGGACTACCTGATGGATCTATCCAGTAGCCTGGAAAACCTGCTGGTCAACCTGGAACAAGAAATGGGGTCAGCGGCAGCTATGTCGGCAGCTGATAAGGTTAGTGTGTACACTAAGTACAAGTATACACTGTTAATAAGGTTAGTCTGAACACTGAGTACTAGTATACACTATAAATATACATTGAGTATAAGGTCAGTGTGTACACTAAGTACAAGTATACACTGTTGATAAGGTTAGTGTACACTGAGTACAAGAATACTCTGTTTGCAAGGTTAGTGTGTACACTGAGGTTAAGTATACACTGTTGAAAAGATTAGTGTGTACACTGAGGATGAATATACTCTGTTTATTAGGTTAGTGTGTACACTGAGTACAAATATACACTGTTGATAAGGTTAGTGTGTTCACTGAGTACAAGTGCACATTGTATTATGAGATTAGTGCGTACATATTACATAAGGTTAACATGTAACTGTATACACTGAGTAAAAGTATATTTTTGTATTTAATGTTATGTTTGTACCAATTAAACAACGACGACTTTTAATTACAATTTAATTAATTCTTCAAAAAACGAGATTGAACGTTTTGATTTAACTTTTATCCATTCTTTTGAAGTAATATATTTATCTACTATATGTCTATCTGATCTATCAATAAATTTAACTATTTATCTATCTATTTTCTACAATCCAGGTGTGGAGCTTCCACAGTAGCTGTGTAGTTTACCTGGATAATGTACCTGCTACAACTATCTATCTATCTATATATACATATATCTATATATATATCTAGGTGTGTAGCTTCCACAGTAGCTGTGTAGTTTACCTGGATACTGTACCTGCTACAACTATCTATCTATCTATCTATCTATACATATATCTATCTATATATCTAGGTGTGTAGCTTCCACAGTAGCTGTGTAGTATACCTGGATACTGTACCTGCTACAACCAGGTTCAGGTTCAGATCACTTCTCAACAAACTAGACTCACAAGCCAAGGTATTCATTGTATTCATTTGCTCATTCATTGATTCATCCTTTTATAATTCTTTGTATTCATCAATTCATTCATTCATCTTTTCATTTATTTATTCGATATTTCAATATTATTTAATTATATTTATTCTATTTCAATTCATGGTCTCTGAGACATACATTGTAAAGCAAAAACAAATATTGTAATTATTTAATTTATTCTATTTCCAATTTATGTTCTCTTTGTATACATTGTAAGACAAAAACAAATAATAGTTTCGCGGATTTTTAAAAAAAATGGAGGGGTTTCAAAATTTTCTTAATTCTAATTTTGTTAAGAGGCAAATTTTTGAAAATTCGATCATCCATAGCCATTCCCTGGGGTCATGCGAGGTACCACAAAAAATTTGGGCCTGATCGGTTCAGACGTTTTGACATTTATTGTATACAAACAGACAAACAAACAAACAAACGCCCAGACAAGTAAAGTATGAAGTACTAGTCTATTAGGACGCTTCGCGCCCATCTTCTATCTTAATTGTGAACATGTTCTCTTTGTGTATATCGTAAAACAAAACAAAAAAATTCGCGGATTTGACGTTTGTTGAATACAAACAAACAGACAGACATGCTAAATTTATATTTAGATATATATAGATTTACATTAGTATTAATAAAATATTAAATTAAGGATCTACGAAGTGTGAATAAGAGGAGTGGAGGACTAGTGGAGGAGATGAAGGGAACTCTCAAGGATATTGTTACAATCATTCAGAGATAGAGATCACTATCTCCATCCTCATCATCATCTTCCTTATCTCCATCATTATCCTCTTCATCTTCTTCCTCTTCCTTCTCATGTTGATAATGTCCTTCTTTCTTTCTTTCTGACCTAATTTCATTTTTTAACAAATTAAAGGGGATGTTTGCGAAAATTAAATTGGTTCAAGGATGAATTTATTATCAATTCATTTTTTAGTTCTGTTCGATGTTTTTGTAATTGGAAAATTAACTGGAATATCGGATAGCATAAACGTGCTACCAATTGTTTCATAATCTAATCATGGTAGGTAAACGTAGTTTAAATTTAAAATTACGCTTACTTCTCGTTCATATTTTGCGAACACCACCTTTAAGACGAAACATAACCAGCCATGTTTTAACAAATACTTTTTCCGAGTTGATTTTTATTTTGCATTTTACATTTTAATTCATCAAGATATCTCTACGTTGCAGCAACTTTTTTCTTTGTATTGTGCCCGCCCGCCTGACCTTTATTTCTGACAACCAGATACCAAAAAACAAGCTGGGATCAAGTAACCTATAATTGTAAACTTACAGCTTTCAATGTGTCAGAGCTCCTAGACCACTCTCACTTTTATATACATAATTATGTACAATGACCCCTCTTACTCTGATGTACACAGTTATGTACAATGACAATTAGAATAATTTTTAATTATGTGTCATAAACTTATATATACTCGGTCAGATTTTTTATTTTTATATTTTGTTTTATTTTAATGGCACCCTCCTCCTCCCCCCCCCCCCCCGTTTATCGACAAAATGCTAGTCTTATCTCTCTTAAAGTAATAAAAACACTAATAACTTAATCTTGCCATGTCTCCAGATTGTGAACAGTTTAACGCTATTGTTTGTTCTGCTCTTAATTACCTTATGTTGATAATTTTGTACATAAAAACTGTACAGAGTGTTTTCTCGTGAAGTTGGGTATTGTACATGTTTTTGAACTGTACGTAACATGCATATTAATACTGTACAATTTATTGTGTACGTTTTACCATGAACACTGTTCCGTTAAATACATTCTACTTTATGTACAATGTACATATATTAAATTACATGGTTTTCTGACGATTTCACAGTGCAGCATGTACAAATTTGTAATTGCCCTATTGCTTTTAATTTTAAAACCGGAGCTTTTTTACCTATTAATATCCCGCCTATTTTAATGTACATGAACTACATATTGTTTTAATGTACATGAACTACATATTGTTTTAATGTACATGAACTTCATATTGTTTTTTAATGTACATGAACTACATATTGTTTTAATGTACATGAACTACATATTGTTTTAATGTACATGAACTACATATTTTTATCTTCTTGATTTGTTTGTAATAATAAACTAGTGCATGTATTTCCAATATATTTTGTATGCGTGATTTATAGTCAAATTAATTGAGGAATATAATAATTTCTAATTCTTTCTTCTTTTTTTATTTACAGATAGAGTTTCCATTCGTAAACCTGTGCTATCTCATTCATACTTTCTCTAGCACTAGATATATACATTTTATAACACTATAAAGCGCTTGTTTCTGATATATTTTTTTCGTGAGATACGAATTTTGGTTCACTTTGATTACAAGGTTGCAAAGATAATGAAACTTAAAAATTAGAGTTTGAGTCGAGTAATCAGTTTCTTAACAAATGGTATATTTCTTTGATCTTTCACGTTTTTGTCACTGGTTTTGAAAATAGCTGAGTCAGGGTGAGTAAATGTGCTGTGTGCCCCTGTTAACATGATAGCTGAAAATAACAGGGTCTTGTCTTGAGATTTAAATATGTATGTGATGCCATCCTTACATTTTCGCAATTTGCCCAGAAATTTTTTATTGCGCAAAAAAATGTTCAATAACGCGCAAAACGTGTTGCGTATGATGCGGGACGAAGCGCAAAAGCTGTTCCGCGATATGCACAAAATGTGCCAAAAAGTAAATTGACTAAGGTTGTTCCGCGATATGCCCAAAATGTGCGAAAAAATAAATTTACTAAGGTGATGTCTAACAGGAACCATTAGTAGATTGTTTTGTCTGCTAGAGTTTCAAATAGTAGTGTAAACTATAGTTAAATTTAGAAATACCGT